AGTGGTTCTTGGGGTGGTAAATAAATAAATGAAGACTGTTTGCTCACAGTGTGACCTTAAGACAGGGTCATTAGATCTGCTTTCCGAGAGGACTGGCCCTTGTTTCATCATTTTTCTGATAACTTATCTTAATCCATTCAAGTTGTCAAACAAAAATGTAATAGATTGTGTGGCGCTTACACATGGAAGAAATTTGATCCTCATTGTTCTGAGACCTGAGAATGTGAAGATCAAGGCAGCAGTGTGTTGGTGTCTGAGGAGGGCCTAGACCATGATCTGGTCAAAGTGTGTGGTGGCTTGAAAGAAAATGGCCTCCAAAGGAGCTGCACCAATGGGAGGAGGTGTGACCTTGTCGGAGGAAGTGTGTCACTGTAGGGGTGGGCTTGGAGGTTTCATATATGCTCAAGCCATGCCCAGTGAGACCGTTCACTTCCTGTTGCCTGCAAGCTGTAGAACTCTCAGCTCCTTCTCTGCCTGCATGCTGCCAGGTCCCACCATCATGGTAACGGACTGAACCTCTGAAACTGTAAGTGAGCCATCTCAATCAAATGTTGCCGTGGTAGTCATGGTTTCTCTTCACAGTCACAGAAACCCTAACTACGACAAGGTGACATGCCACTATTATCTCATTGCTTAGGAGGCTGAGGCAAAAGGATCACAAGTTTGGCTAGGCCACAGAGTGAATTTTCTGTCTTTGCTCTGGGGTTTATTGATAAGGACATTAACCTCATTCCCCAGAGCTTGATGACTTCCAAAAGCCCCAACCCTTAATACTATCATATTTGGGGTCAAAATGTCAACAAGACGAATTTGAGAGGGACAAAAATTTTATCTCATGCCATTTTATACCTGATCCCCCTGTTATAAACGCCAGCATGTAAAAGGCATCTGACCTGGCCCAAGCGCCACCAACAATCTCTCTCTAACGTCAGCTTTAAGGTTCCATCTCAATAAGATGAGGGCGGATCAAGACACACCACCTCCAGCCAAAGTCCGTTCCAGCTGTGACGACCATGAGACCATGAGGTACATCAAAATAGGATTCTGGGAAGTGTGAGACAGACATTTCCATTCCAATAAGAGAAGAAATGGGAAGCAAATCTTCTAAGCACAACAGTGCGAAGTCCAAGCTTTAATCAGACTAATTCTCTCTGTCTTGACACTGCGCCGTCAGACCCAGACTGAGGCAACAGACCGACTCATTCCCTGAGGCAGTGAACCCACCTCCAGAGCTTGTCAGCTTTTCTGGGTTGACGTTCTGTTTTCCATGCCCATTTGGGTGGCAGCATCCTTCACAGCTCAGTGAACGTCCTCTCTCTGCCTTGTCTTTGCAGCTTCCCCGGGCTGGACTGCTACCCTGCAGCTCTGCCACAGAGCTTGTCCCAGTAGCTCCACTGGTTGCAGTCCCCCTTGCAGCTCTCCGCAGGGACTCCATCCTGGAAGTACCAGGCATTGCATCCTGGACTGCTTGAACTGGAGAGATGCCTATGCCTATTGAAACTGCCCTGCCCCCAGCTCCCCGTGGCTGCAGGGGTCTTAGCCTATAATGGGAGCCACAGGCCTAGTTGTCTCTGGATCATCTTCCTGTCTTCCCAAAACCTAGCTGCTGGCTTTTGTCTGGACGACTGAGCCCTACTAAGTCCTTGTGACAGTCATCTGGTCACAACATTCACAGTGTCTATCCTGTTGTTTTATGGGCTTGTTTGTTAGAACACAAGTAAGCTAGGGATTCTCTCATTTCCTTGTTTAGATTCTAGTTCCTTTTGGCTAGCAATTCTATCTTTAGCTCATCCCTCTCTCTTTATGCACTACTAAAAGCAGTTAGGAAGAGTCAAGCTACTCCTTCACACATGGCTTAGAAACTCCCGTCGCTAAATATGTAGATGCATCGCTAGCAAGTTCCACCTTTCGCAAAACCCTCGCACACACAAACAGTTCACTCAGTCTCTGCCCCTTTACAACAAGATCACCCTCCTCTAACATCCTCATGTTCGCCTGAGTCTTGTCAGAATGGCCTGCAGCATTCATTAAAGCTCCATTCAGAACTATCTAAGCATTAGCTAAGAACGGGGATTTCTCGACAGATTGTCTATTTGTTTTCTGAGCACACACACACACACACACACACACACACACACAGGATCATCTTTATGGGTCCATTCTCAGCAAACATTTTAAGCTTCCCCTGACCTGTTTTTGCCACCCTTTCCCATTTTATGTGCTATAGCAGCATCCCACTCTCGGTACCAATTTTTGTGTAAGCCCATTAGAGTGACAAAAAAAAGAAACCACCCCACCATAAATGATGTGACTTATAAATACCATCTATTTCCAGGCACTGGAGGCGCATGCCTTTAATCCCAACACTCGGAAGGCAGAGGCAGGCGGATCTCTGTGAGTTCAAGGCCAGCCTGGTCTATAAGAGCTAGTTCCAGGACAGGCTCCAAAGCTACAGAGAAACCCTGTCTCAGAAAAAAAAAAAAAAAAAAAACAAAACAATCAATAACATTTATTTGCTTCTCATGATTCAGGAGACCGGGAGGTGTAAGAACAAAGCGCCCACAGTCTCACTGTATGATTGAGAGTCTTCTTACTGGTGCATTGATGGCCAGTTTCTCGTTGGGTCCTTCCATGGTGGAAGGGTGACGGGGTTGTCTGGGACTTTCCTAAGAACACTAATTCCACTTATGAGCCAACCATCTCCAAGGGCCCCACACCCAAACACATGGCATTAGCAGTGAGAGTTTCGGCGTGTGGATCTAAGGAAGGAGGCAAACCATCATTGACAACACAGCTCGAGTCTTTTGAAAATAGCTTACATCTTTTCTCAAGCCTTAGTATAGGCATCAAATGAGGACCATGAAGGAGAAGGCAAAGCCGCACCCACTGAGGCTCACCAAGAGTTCTGACACACCCCCAGACTGCCTTTTATTCCATCCTGCCACCAACAAGGGCTCTGGTGGGGTGGACATGGCTCTCTGCCTGCCATCAGGAAGTGCTGGCTGTGGTGGTAAGTGTGCATCCAGGAGACCGCTGTTAAAACTGCTGAGTCACTCTGCACGCCAAGTCTCTGGGCACAGCCTCTGACAAGGATACAGCTAGCACCGGCCCATCTGCAGAACCTTGAATCACTGCCTGGTGAGGAGCAGATCGCGTCTCTGTCCCAGGTCAGAGAATGACCCTGGAGGAAGACTATTCCTGCAGCTCTCAGGAACTTAAGTTTGCTGATAGTTTCAACTCCAGGGGACTGTTCCCACAAGCAGTACTTTCAACCCCTTGGAAAGTTACCAGATTTTTTTTAAATTATGTGGTTTGTTTCCAAGAGAATCCAGGATCTGCTGTCGTGTCTTATTGTGAAAAGCCCAGCCTGATACTTTGCAAGAGATCATTTGTGGAGGAATTTTTCATTGCCTAGCCTTCTGCCATGACCCTACTGAGCTATGCTTGGAAATGTAAAGTCATACTGCGAGAGCCTCCCTGAACCCCGCATATACAGTCTAGGTCACTGCCCTAGAAATAGAAGACACTGGTTTGATAGCTTACATCTAAACCATATATCCAGTCCCATAGCCACATAGCCATGCCAACTAGTCACAGATGACTAAGTTTAAACTTTAATTATTTAAATTGTAAATTTCCCTTCAGGTCCTCGGTCACACTAGTGCGTGAGAGAATAGTGGCCCCAAGCATGCACGGCGTGACTATAAAATGGCCCCTCCTGCTCAGGCTGCCAATTACTTGCTTTTTAAGCACTTTAATGCTCCGGTTTTCTTCTAGCAGAAATATGGAGGCTATGCCAACTCTATAATAAGCAAAACCCATGGTTTCATATACTGATGGTTAGGGACTATCAAGGGCCTATCTGTCTCTAAAAGGAAAAAAGCTCTGTCTACACCAGCAGTCCCCAAGTGTGGCTGTGACTAAGTCTCTGGGGACCCTTGAGAAGCTGGAGCCTCTGGTTCAGCAGCTCTGGATGTGGCCTGTGGTTCTGCTTGGTCTTTAGAGCACACTTTGAATCTGGATGCGGGTGGGGAGGGGAGAGGAGGTTCCAGCTTGTGACTTGTGAAGTAGGAGCTATTGTCTCCTGAAGGGTCAGCCCAGGGACTTCAGGTGGGAGGAGAGAATCTGAAGGGGTTGTTGCACTGGTTGAGCACCGGAGGAGGATGTCAATGCCACTTCTTTCCCGTGGCGGTGAGATTGCCAAGCAAGCTGAAGGCTACACTCTGGAGCCAAACAACTACATTGGATTCTTGACTCCATCACTTGCCAGATATGAGGCCGAGACAACTGATAACTAGACCTCGGCCTCCCTGTCTTGGGAATGGAAATAGTCCTAGCGTACTTCACAGAGCAGCTTTAAGGACTCAGCCCATTGGCGGGTAGATGTAAAATGCTTAAAATGCTTAGTACACAGCAAACACTGCTCCGTGGCTAAAGCAATCAGCAAAGGCAGCATGCTGTTTCCGAGCAAGTTGAATGGGGTTTATTCTGGTTTAATTCACTCATTTATAACCAGTATATCACCCAACTCCAATCAGAGGCTGACCTCTCCTTTAGATATTGAAGAAGAAATCAAAGATGGGGAGCTAGTTTCTTAGACAAAGGGTTGAATTCAGGAGGTATCCTGGATAACAGAAAAAGTACGAAAAGGATAGAGTTGAAAGTTGGCTCCGCACCTGATGAGAGTGGTCCAGGGAGGCCCCATCGGTGGTGGGGATAGATTTCCTATAGGCAGCATTCACTCGCTGTGCACTTTGGTGAGCCTCGCCAGACATGGCCTCTTCCCCTGCCTCTTTTCAGGAGCTCCTCACCACCTGGCACCACTGGTGTATAAAAGCATACATGTGGGATTAGCGTGGGTTTTGTGGTATCTGTCACTTCCTCCTGACACGGTTCTCCTTGACGTGTGGTGTCAACACAGATTTATCAGGGAGAATATGACAGTGGCTTTTGTTTGATATTAATCATTTTTTTTCAAACCTTCTCTTCCAACCCCAAAGCAAAGAGCCCAGCCAGCAGCGGGTAAAACGATGGGGCTTCTCTTTTGACGAGATACTGAAGGACCAGGTGGGGCGGGACCAGTTCCTTCGATTCCTGGAGTCGGAATTCAGTTCAGAAAATCTCAGGTAACTCAAACGTTTGAATTGCATACGTGTGTGTGTGTGTGTGTGTGTGTGTGTGTGTGTGTGTAAATTTGCATAATTGGCCTTTCCACCTCCCTCTCTCAATAAAACATCACTTGGGGTTCAAATCCAAATATGAGCTTATCTAGCTCAGGTTGGGATGGAGGCTTTTGATGGGGTCAAATAGTCAAATGGCTTTGATAGCCCCATTCAAGTAAAACTATGTAAGTGTGGAATTTCAGAGTGAGGGGGCAGCTCAGGGCACCCCTTCTCCAAAATGTTGGCCCTAGGTGTTCATGGCCCCTTGAAGGTTAAACGGAGAGGAGGACATCAACGGGCTCAACTCAGAACTTTAGCAAGCCCAGTCTGTGGTGTATGTAGACGTGACTGTACAAGCTAATAAAAGCACATGCTTTCCCCTTGAAAAGAATTCTGTCACCTCCATGCGGTGACTGCGTGGATCAGCTGATGTCACAGAGAAGACCTGATTGTTTCTGTAGGCCAATAACTAATACCTTATAATGGAAATGGACAAATAATTACATTTAGTAGGAGAAAAAAGAAAACGTTCAGAAAAATGAGAACTGATGTGGAAGAGCGGGGTAAGTAAAAAACAAAGAAGTTCTTGGTCACAGAAAACGAGAAACTGAGGCATTATTCAGTCCTCTGCTGTGTCAGATACGGAGCCAGGTGACTCGTGGGAACGTGATCAGGTGTGGCACTAGGTGGGGCCCCTCGGCGATTGTCTTGTGCAGGGGTCCTTACCAGAACGGAACCGACAGAATGAGACCCGCTTTCAGGATGTGGTCTGGGTGGTTCACCAATGACTCTCACACACTGGAGAGGCTGAGAATCAGTAGTTACTCAGTCCGTGAGACCGGATGTCCCAGTTTGGCCCTGAGGGACTGGAGGATTTCTGGAGAGCCGCTGGTCTTTGGTCAACATCAGAATCCTAAAGAACTTGATTTTAATATGGGTGAAGGAATGCCACAGCAACAGAGTAGATGTCCTTGTTAACAAGAGTGAGGGCAAGCATGCAGGCATCACAGTCTCCCTTCGTCCCCTTATCTGGGCTGCCACCAGAAGGTGCCACCCACATTAGGGTGGGTCTTCCCCCACTTCAAATAATTTGAATAAGAAAATGCCTCATAGGAGTGCCTAGTAGCTTCTGTTTTGATTCCACGAGCAATTATGTCGACACCCAAGATTAGCGGTCTCGATCAACTGGTGACTTCACAGCTGAGATCCATCACCGCCACTACTTCAAGCCCCGCCCCTATTTACCTCAGGTTCTCTTTTACATAGTAAGTTAATTTCCATGTTCAAATGCTACCTTCTGAAATAGACTTTTATTACTTTTTGAATTTTTAAAATTAAATCCGAGCGTGTGCTCTTGGCAAAGGGCCGTGTTCTCTTATAATAATGGGTAAAATCCCTGTCACCAATCGGGTGATATCTATGGCAAACCTGTGCTACAGCAAGCCCCACCAGAGTCTACTAAGGGATGTAAGGACAGTCGAGATATGTGATTTTCTCCCCAGAAACAACCTTGTAGGTTCTGGAAAAAAATGCATAAGAAATTATAAGTTATTAATTATATACAAATAATTGTAGCCTCTAAAGCCATTTTGGAAGTATTTAAAGGAGGGAGGAATGGATGTCATAAGCTTGACTTTCAAGAACTCATAAGATGCCACGAGACCAAGAAAAGGGAGTATATTCCAAGGCAGGACACCGAATTAGCCACGGGGGGGGGGGGGGGGGGCTGTTAGGCAGAATGTTTCCATCTCAGTGATTTATTCTGGCTCCTGATTACGGAGATTTCAATGGACGGCAGTGGAGAGTATGAGACAGAGCAGACACATGGGTGGCCAGGAAGCAGAGAGAGAAGCTGCACTGTGGACATCCCCCCACCCCCGGCCACTTTCTATCATCACATCCGTGCCCCCCCCCACCTATGGGGGGCAGTTCCTGCCCACATCCAGGCTGCATCTTCCCCAAGTTAATCCTCTCTGGAAATGTATCGACAGACACCCCCAGATCTTGACCAATAATCCAGACTCTTCCCAAGCCAACCAAGTAGAAAGTCATAAATCAAGATTAACTCTCACCAAGCGATGATATGACAATCCTAGACTATAGAGTCCTGGGACGAAGTAGGTACCAATGGTGTGTCCTTTCCCATCAGACCTGTGCCTACAATGAACCAGGCGAGGTGATCTCACTTTCAGGTTATGGCCCAATAGTTCTTTCACCATACTTTCTAGAATATTCTAACCACAGCTCGGGGGTTTGCTTTGATTCCTGACTGGGCATTTGTAACAGAAGCCATGGCTTCCAATCCTCTTCACCGGGGTAACACCAAGGCCAGCCTCCCCAGACTATGTAAGAAGCGGGCTGGACGGTCCCAGCTGATCTCTCAGAGTCATCATCCCAGACTCTGTCTCCTGCTGGGTCCCCATAGGTCTTTCTTACTCTCCAATCCCCATTGCGTTTGGGCTCCAAAGTGGAAAGATACGAACTGTGCCCTTTGCTGGTTTCTCAGCCCACAAGTAGACTTAAGAGCCCTCTGCTACCTAAAATATTCAAGACAGTAAGAAGAGTGACCATAGGCTCCTGCTCATTGCAAAGGCCGCTCCTTGCCATCTTGGGGGCTCTATTGTCAAAAGCCGCAGTGTAGCCAAGGGACGCTTCTGTAATCAGACTCAAGTCAGGAACTATCCAGAGTCCCAAGTGCACAGAGAAGCGTGTCCCTGGCAGGTGCTCCCTCCCTTCCGCCATCTTCATTTGTGCCTCTGCCAGCAGCTTGCCGGGTGCCAGGAGGGCTGCATTTAATCTTGGGTGAAAGAATGTGCATGCACGCGTGTGAATCCGCCAGCCCCCAGCATGCATGCATAAATCCGGACTTAAAGAAGGTCCACTCTGATCCATGACAGGAAGGAGGATAAAGGAAATAGAACAGCAGAGCGAGAAGGTACAGCCCAGGAGCTTCTGAAATCCCCTCCGGAGGCCCCGGTTCCATCCTGATGATATTCTCAGCATAATTGGACACAGGGAGGAAAGTTCAGCTCGAAGTCACGCGACTGCAAGACCCTTTGGTCCCTTATCATCACAAAATAGCTGCTTTCCCTGCCCTCTGTTCATTCCTTCAGCCACAGACCGTGGCTAAGCCCTCCCAGGACCCAGGTCCCGAGGGCTCAGGGTTTATCTGACTCTGCTCCTTCTCCATAGTAGCCATGCATGGCTGGCCAGGTACATGCCTGTCATAGTCCGTGCGCACGGTGGCTCCTGGGAGCTGAGGAAGATGCACAGCGTGAGGCTCCTGGTCATTTGTTGCATTGGGCCTTGCTGAGTTGTCCCTTCCCCCCAGCGTTGGTCATGAGCCCTGGCTCCTGGAATCAAAGCGGAAGAAGGGAAGAGAAAGGCTGGGGGTGGGGGTGGGTGCAAAGTGCCGTTTTTCTGTCTTCTGGGATCTCTCGAGTCTCTCTGGTAGAAGGAATGTTTCATTCAGACTAACCAGGCACAGCGCATAGAATGCCAGCAAAGGAGCCAATTGGTGGAATTTACATCAGAGCTTCAGAATAAGGAAGAGAGGGCCCCAAAAGTGCCACCTAGACCTTCCCAGGAAAGTGTGTGTGTGTGTGTGTGTGTGTGTGTGCGTGTGTGTGTGTGTGTATAGGGTGTACTTACATGTTCATACAGATGTGTGAATGCATACATGTGTATTCACATGGGCATGTGTGAGCAAGTATGCAGAAACTACTGGGCGGTGGTGGCGCACGCCTTTAATCCCAGCACTTGGGAGGCAGAGGCAGGCGGATCTTTATGAGTTCGAGGCCAGCCTGGTCTACAAGAGCTAGTTCCAGGGCAGGCTCCAAAACTACATAGAAACCCTTTCTCAAACAAACAAACAAAACAAAACAGAAACTCTCCACTTTATTTATTTGAACGTGTAGCTCATTGATTTGGTAGACTGGCTGGCCAGCAAAGCCCGGGATCCTCCTGTCTCTGCACCCCCAGCATTAGAAGTACATGTATACGCACTGTCACACCTGGCCATTCCTGGGTGCTGGGGATTTGAACTCAGGTCCCCATGCTATGCAGCAGGCTCCTTACTCAGCCCCACTTCTGGTCATGTTTGTCTAGATGAGTCTGTGAGATGACTGAGGGTTGTCATCTCCAGGGACATGAGCGGGGGAACAGGGCCAGCAAGACATGCTTTGTTGTGACAGCCTACATCGGAGGCTGCTCACCTCTTCTTCTAACCACCAAGGCAAGTTCACACCTGAGCTGCCTAAGAGGGTGTAGGACATTGAAGCATCACAGTCCCAAAGCAAACACTACGGAGCTGACTTTATCCTTTTTCCTAGTTTGTGAATTTTCCCCAAATGGAGACAGTGCCCTTTGCCCCTGCTCCATCTCCATCCTCCTGTTCAAACTTTTGTCCTCCCTGGCTCGACACCTTCTGCCATACAGCAGGGCATGAGTTAAAAATCAAAGCCGGCAACAAAGAGCATCCCCCTACATTTTTTATGAGCTGTAACATCTCCTGAGAGAGCAGAGTTGTTCCTCGAACCTGCAGATTGATGACCCTACTTCCATACGGTGTCAGCGGAAGGGAGAAGCAATTAAAAGCAAGCACAGGGGCCTGCCAGGTTTTGCCTCCAGAGTTCTGGCTCCAGATTTAGCTTCGGCAGTTGCCCCCAAGCCCTGGGAACGCCCCGGAAGTTTCATGAGGCCCAGTGGGGGTCCCAGAGTAACCAAACACATGACAAAACAGAGCCAGGTGACTCCATTGAGGCTGTGGCCATCGGCAGCAGTGTGGCTCCTGTCCAGTGCAGAGCTCAGCTAGGGTGGTGCCTATGGGTACCTGAGCATCACAGCCAGCACAGACGGGACAAAAATCTAGTTTTGTCCATTGTTCTGAGTCACCCAATGGCCAGCAGAGGGCACAGCAACACTTCCTTCTGCCAAGGAGTTCACTTTGCTCTGGGAACCAGCCCCGAGCTTGTTTTGTAGGCTCTGAACATTCTGGTTTGTGAAAAAGACAGGCGAGGCCCTAAGTGCAGAGCTGTGAAGACCTCCTGATGGTATGGGAAATGGTCGATGGCTCATGGTTTCTCCTGTGCCAATCAGTCTGGAGAAGACCCCATTGCGTGTTCAGCATCCAGGAAGAAAGGAGGCAGGCAAAGCATCTCTGGACACCCCCCCCCACACACACACCAGTTCCGTGGGCCCCAAAGGCTTCATCCTAGTACAGGGTACCCTCTAGGCCAGTTTTCTCCTCTGCATTCTTTTCTAAGTCGTTAGCGCAGATCAAAAGGCCAGCACAGGGCTGCCTCTGGCTGCTGCTCTGACAATTGGCAATGTCAGGGAAAGGCAGCCCAGGTGGTCTCTGCACACTCTGGAGCCCCTGTTCCCTGACAGTCTCTAAGGCTCCCTGCTTTCAGCCGAAGGCTTAGTGCAGGATGGTTGCCTCTGATGCAGCTGCTGGCATTTGACGCCTAACCGCTTCCTGGAAGGAACGGTACCTGTAGGCTTTTGATAAGAGCGGCCATTTCTCTGTCCTCGGTGGGTCACCCATCCACAAGAGGATATGCAGAGAGCTTTTTGTGGCTCTTTTGGTGACAGTGGGGATGGGAGAGTTGGCCTGAGCTCCCAGTTCAGCTCAGACCATTGGAGCGGGAAGAGGGGCACACACAGATGACAGCCTGTTCTGAATTTCTAATCGCCACAGAGGTTCCTCCAAGCCAAGACGGTAAATACACCTGAGATGTCAGGGCGCTGCTGTGACAGTACTTTTGCTGTCACCTAGGAGGGACGAGGTAGGGCATCCCCAAGGCAGACAGAGGCCAGGCTGAGTCCACTGTACACAGGAAGAGAAGGCCGTCGAGGGAATGTCACTCTCGCACACTCTGTGCCCTCCCCTCCCCGCCCCCCAGGTCTCCCCTCCCTCCCCTTCTTTCTTCCCCACCTCTTCTCTCCTCCCCACCTCACTTCCCCCTCTCCCATGACATGCCCGCTGCTGTTTTATCTTGTGCTTTAAAAAAAAAAAAATTCCCAGCTTTAATTGAAGGAAGAAACCTTTTGTTTTTGTTTGGTTTGGTTTTGATGTAAAGATGAATCAGTTTGATTCTGAAATTTGCTCTGACATCCACTCTGCCCCTGTGTACGCAGACTAAGGATGCACAGTGCAGTGCCCCTTAGGTCATTCTGTAAAGGGACCCTAAAGCTCTCTGGAAGCACCGAGAGCCTGCAGAGATTAGACACTTCAGAGATCCCGGGGCTTTCCCATGCCTTTCTCCCTGGCTCCCATATAGCAGACTAGACTAGGAAGGGACAGAGATGGTAGAATGTGACCTCGCAGGTCACACAGATGGAGGAGGCAGACAAAAAAAAGAAAGCATTACCGGCTTACAATCTAGGTGTGTGAGAAGTCAGCGAGGCCCCACAGGTGACTCCGAAGGCTGTCCATAGTCAGCGCCTCGGCCCAGCGGTTCTGCCTTGGCCCGGTAGGGACCATAAAGCTCTGTGGACTCATCTCTCTGGAGGCCAGAAGGACGTGAGCTCCAAGGAGGGCGGGCATGGAGTGGTAGGAAATGATATGGAACATTAGCGAGAGGCCTGGCAGTGTCTTCCCAGACCACCGCCGGAGAAAGTTGAAATTCTAAACGCTTGGTCTGGGACCTGTTGACTGGCCCGCCACTTGGCTGTTCCTTAGCCCACACCCAGGGAGTTAAGTCTGGCTGGGAAATTGTTCAGAATTTTGCTGCACCCCCTTCACCCACTTTGTACCCATTTCCCGGCTGATGAAAGACTACCTGGGAAGGTACAATTCCAGACAGCAACACAACCAGGCTGAGAACAGAACCCAGCTCCCTGTTCTCCAGACAGAGGGATGCTCTCATCTTCGCTTCCCTCTTTGATCTTCAGGTTCAAGGAGAAGAGGTTTCTTTAGTTCTAGGGCTAGCTACACAGAGAAACACTGTCTCGAAAAGAAGAGAGACCCAGAGATTATTACATGAGATCGACGATCTAAAAACAAGCACGAGAACCCAAATGTTCCTTGTGGAAATTGGGGCTGCAGTACTTCAACCTGCCGCTGGGTGGCGCCTTTGGGCCACACATTTGACTTCAATGACATTTCCCTGAGCAGCAGGAAAACGTGCTAACCCTTAAAAATAATAATACTAGTAACAAAAAACAAGTACCTCTTACTCTGGGCTAAATTCTATGGCAGATTGAATGGCCTTTCTACCTTTTGGTTCATCTATGTTCCATCCTCTCCATTCGTTGACGAAAGTATTTGTTCTATTACTTGTGGCTGTGCAACCCACACAACATGGAGCCTGCAGTACCTCACTGGGGACACTGGCCTGGCCCCTTTGCAGGGGAGAATGAGCTACCCAGCGCTGGGCCCCTGTGATAGGATGCCCTGGGATCATCCTCAGGGCCTGGGAGCTGCTTTGGCTCTGGCGACTGCCGCTCCCTGCAGAACAGCGCTCATGTGGGGCTTGTCATTAGCTGCTCCCAGACAGACGCTGAGGAGTGATGGTGCCGTGATGGGGAGTGCAGAGAGGGAGATATTTTTCTCCCACTCTCTAGAGAATCTTTGGTAAAGATGTCCCTTCAGCTATGTTTCAGACAAACCCTCTCCAAATTATGGAATGCCTACTAAGTGTCCAGCACCGTGTTCAGTACTGAATACCTACTAAGTGCCCAGCACCGTGTTCAGTACTAATGTGAATGGCCCTATTTGTTCCTCTCCAACATGATTGGCTGATTCATTCCAAACCAAATATCTTTTATAATTCCAAGGTTCTGCCTGCTTTTTGTGGCATGCCCCCTTTTAAAGTTTTGTTTTATTAATTTTATTCATCTGTATGTGCATCACACATACCTGTGGAGGTCAGAAGAGGAACTGGATCCCTAGAACTAGAGTGACAGGCAGTTGTGAGCTGTGGATGCTGGGAACCAAACCCAGGCCCTCTGTAAGAGCAGTGAGTGCTTTTAACTGCTGAGCCACCTCTCCAAGCTCCTTTTCCTTATTTTGATGCCCCCAAATGACCCCAGCCAGATTTGACAAGGAACACACATTATATAGGAACCTGAATGGAAAGCGGTTGATTTTCAACCTGGCAGAATTCGTACTTCTCGGGGACATTTGGTAATATCCAGAGACACTTGCTAGTTAGTTGCTGCAGCTTAAGGGATGCTGGTGACGTCTGGTGAACTGGGGGTAAGTGACTGCTTAGCATTCTACAAGACAGCCCTTCCACACCAAACAGGAACGCCCTAGCCTGAGTGGCTGTTGTGCTGGGTTGAAAACTCTCTAGGCAGAGGGAAAAGAACTTCTTGTGGCCTCTGGAAGCTCATCTTCTCACGCGTGTCTCTTTTCTGTCCTCAACAATACGCCCTGCACTTTGAGCAGACCCCAAGGAACTCCCATGTGGCATCGAGGCAGGCATGGGGATGCCCGTGAGCTCTGGGGCCATCCCTAGCGGAGTCTGAATAGAACTGACCGTGTTTCTGATTTCACTCCAGGTTCTGGCTGGCTGTCCAAGACCTCAAGAAGCAGCCTTTACAGGACGTGGCCAAGAGGGTGGAAGAAATCTGGCAAGAGTTTCTAGCTCCAGGTGCCCCGAGTGCCATCAACCTGGATTCCCACAGCTATGAGAGAACCAGTCAGAATATCAAAGACGGAGGCAGATACACATTTGAAGATGCCCAGGTTTGCTCAGTGACCCAAATCATCGTATCATAAGGCATTCCTTAACCACTTGACAGCCTGACCTTTTGATACAAGTCAGAGGTTTTATGACTAGTTAGAATATCAGCTTTTACTATTAATAAGTCCACTAGTCAAGGCTATTCCAGAAAAGTACACGGGGAAAATGTAACAGAACGTTGCCGTTCTCAGACTTAGAATGCTAGCTGGGACTGCATCCTGGTAAACCGTCATGAGTTGAAGCAGCCTTCTAAAATGCATTCAGTAGGCCTCACAGTTTACCATACAGAACGCTGTGAGGGACCAGCTCTTTCCCTCAGGAGCACAGGCTGACTGGGAGCTTCAGCTCACTCACTTCCCAGCGTCTAGAAAGAGGATCACACCAAACAGCAGTAGTCAGAGAAAGATCCAGATCTGAAGCAGAGCTTCTACTAAGTGTCCATTGCTTATGCGACGTTGTAAAGTCAAGGTATTGTAAGCCAAACCACTATGTGTTGTGGAACCATTTTTATTTGCTTTATCTTTTCGGGGGGAGGGGGAGAATGTTGTACAAAATCTAAACTCTTATACAAGGTCAGGAGTAGATTCAAAGCAATGCAACATCAGTAAAGTAGGAATTGTGAGCTGGTTGGATCAAGAGCCAAGCCCACCCCTGTCCAGCTGCCATGCTCTCATTGCACGGCTTCCATGGTGACCACCCCATCCAGTGAGTAGATTCCGAGCAGCTCCATATTCCTGGAGAATGGTGAGAGACACCACAAAGAACAGATGAAAGACACTTGTCCTCAGCAAGGCCCAGGGCCGGGTGACAAATATGTAGGCCATTTTAGCAGTGTGAGAAGACCCCAAAGGAGTAGGCTCTGGGGTCAAATGATGACCGGAGGAAGGACTCAACTCTGCAGGGCTCAGTTAGGGTGCTCACTGATGCTGTAGGCAGAGAATGCGAGAGGCTTGCCTTGCCAACGACAGTAGCCTATGAAGTTACACCACTGCAAACAATGGCACGAGGCTATGTCCAGTGTCCCTTGTCATTTGCTCGAGAGCTCGGGCTGAAAACAGCTGTCACGTACCCTTTCTCTCCTCCATCCTGAACCCACGGATTGCCTGTGCTGGGCAGATTTGGTTCCAAACACTCAGTCTCCTCCCTGTGACATCACAAGGCCCTTGGGCTCTTTGTAGCTCTGGAGTTAAATCCTGAAATCATGAGGGCTCTTCCCCCAGCACAGTTGTGTATATATGTATGCTCTTGGGGACAATACTGGTGTGACTCAGAAAGGAGGGGGGTGGAGAAATTCTCTGGGAACACGGAAGCCATTGTGAGGTTATAAGGTCAAAACTTCAGAAAGAAATGCTGATGTCAAGCCATGATGCTCCCAGTCTGGGTGTCACTCCAAGCACTACACAGGAAGGGTTTTCTTTAGCATTTTCTCATGGGAACTCTTGAACACAAAGCCGGCAATGAGCAGAAACACAAACCTTTATGAGCCTTCATCCAACCTCAATGGTCATCAGTACGTGACCTCCTTTGAGCTGTGTCCCCATCTGCATGTTACCCGGCTGCTTGGAGGGGGAAATGTCCTTTTTTCCTTTAATGTTACCACACTACCATTACCACAATTTGATAAAATGTCAATAACTCCTTAATGCCAGCAGGCAAGTGTTGACGGAAGTTTCTCTCCTACCTGGTCCCACAGTCGTTCAGTCCCAAAGAAACACGCAAAGACTTATATTAATTATAAACTGTTTGGCCAATTAGCTCAGACTTATTATTAACTAGCTCTTACAACTTAAATCAACCCATAATTCTTACCTTTGTTTAGCCACATGGCTTGGTACCTTTTCTCAGTAAGACATTCTCATCCTGCTTCCTCTGCATCTGGCTGGCGACTGTGTCTCTGCCTTTCCCGTTCCCAGAATTCTTCTAGTCTGGTTGCTCTGCCTATACCTCCTGCCTGGCTACTGGCCAATCAGCATTTTTTAATAAACCAATACAAGTGACAAATCTTTACAGTGGACAAGAGCATTATCTCACAGCAGACAAGTGTATGAACTTTTAATAGTCCCATACATGATTTCTAAAACACCATTTAAAAATCAGATACCACACAAGGGCTGCACAGTACTGTGGACCAACAAGGGTGTTCTTTAACTATACTTCATCTTTCTCTTTCTCTCCCTCTCTCCTCCCATCCCTGTGTATATTGGACGAAGTTATATGTTTCATCCTATGAAGGGTTCCAACCTGGATCTTTCTGGTGACAGCCCTGCATGCTACACACGTTTCTCTGTCACCCAATATTTCCTATCAATTGGGTGTTTGATTTTTATATTTAACTGGATTTAGCTTTGACTTTTGTGGAGTTTATTGTGCTGCTGTCTCGTCAGGAGGAATGTAATAATGTCTCCTGCCGTGTGTGTGTGTGTGTGTGTGTGTGTGTGTGTGTGTGTGTGTGTGACTTTTAGCCACTCTGTATATGTGTATATGTGATTTCAGCCACTTTGGGTGTTTGTTGCTGAAGTTAATTAGGGTTGTGAAATGGTGATGTTCTCATTATCTTCCTCTTCTTGTTGACGAGCTGCACGGCTTCCAAAAGGAGGCAGTCCTCTCAGCTCCTAGTTAATTAACTAGTTAGTATCACCGTTCATGTAAGAAGAGCGGAATATTTGATTCTTAGTACCCATGGATGCTAAGTTGTTGGTCTTTTCTCGGTATTTTTAGTGGACAGAGCTAGGAAATATATTGTAATCTGCAATAAGGATATGTTCAGCTGGGCATAAGTGTACATCCAGCAATTGGGAGACTGAGACAGGGAGCTAGGTCAGAGTTTGAGACCAGCCCCCACCACCTCACACGTGTGTGTGTGTGTGTGTGTGTGTGTGTGTGTGTGTGTGTGTGTGTGCGTGCAGAAAGAGAGATTATGAATTCATGCTGACATTTTCATTGGGATGTAGAATTGCAGAGGGCTTCTCCTCAAGCTCTCCCTGCTTACCTCCTTCCCTCCCTCCCCTGCTCAGAGTCTGGCCCTCAAGGACCGCACAGATGATGTGTAACTGCTCATCTGCCTCCTGCTACATTTGCACAGAGCAGCCTGAGGCCCAGACAAGGCCATCACTGCCTGGCTCTTTCCTTGGTATGGAGGAGCCATAGTTTGTTCGCTCAACCAGTCTTCCCCTCCTGGATGCTTGGGCTCTTCTTTATTCAAAGGAGATTTGATGAGAGAACTTGAAAAATAATAAATACATTGTGCCTTGGTAAGATATTGAATAGCCAGTCTTTACTAGTACAGTTCTATGTGGTTTTTCAAATGTGTTATTCCAGGGCGAGCCTGTGAAGTAGACTAGACAGGAAGATGTACCAAGACTTAACTTCTATAAATTTAAATAAAGCTCCCTTCCTATGCCAGTTCTCATTCCTAGCCTCTTCCCTGTTGTTCCTTAAGTGTGTTTGCACATACAAATATACGGTCTCCCTGGCAGCCTGACTATGGGAATGCCACCTAATGCCCTAGTTAGTTTTATGCCAACTTGACACAAGCTGGAATCATTGAGAAGAGGGAGCCGCAAGTGAGAAAACACCCTACCAGAAAGACCTGTGGAGCTTTTTTTTTTTTTTTAAATCATGATTGATGTGGGAGGACCTAGCCCCTTGTGGGTGGGATCATCAGAGGCAGATGATCCTGGGGTAGATGAGGAAGTAGACCAGTAAGTCACACAGCTCCATTGTGTGGGCTTCATTTCCCACCTCCAGGTTCCTGCCTTGAGTTCCTGCCCTGGCTCCCTTCCGTGATGGGGTGTGACCTGGGAGTTGTAAGGTGAAGGAAACCCTTTTCTGCCCAAGTTATTTCAGTCACAGTGTCTTAGCACAGCAATAGAAACAGTAACTAAGACACCTAAATCCCCTAAGTCTTCCTTCCCTCTCCCACAGAGATATAGCAGAACTTCTACCTCGGGTGAGAGGGGGCGAGACAGAAAGAGACAGGTGACCGCAGTGACTGGTCCACCGAAATGAAGTGAAAGCATTTACTACTCTATTTCCCTAACGTCATTAATGTGTTTTGGTCTTTTATGCCTGACACGTTTGTCAAAATTTCAGATATTTTCATATGTAAGCACAGAGAGAGAACCCTTCTCTCAGTATCCATATGTCCCTTGATTTACTCTGTGTTACGCTTCAGCTTATTCATGGTTAAGCTGGAAATATCATTAATTCAGAAGATTCATTTAATGCATCCACTGACCCAGTGTCTTGTTGGGCGCCGTGGAGGCACGGAGAACACGGGGGAACATATACATTCAGTTTTTCTCTCTGGGGCTCCTGTGGCTGAGCTGTACCATAGTTTGTGTCATTGCTCCCCAGCCTTAGGAGGGGCTACTTGCCACATAGCCAGCCCGGGAGAAGAGCAAAGCTCAGCATATAGTTTATATGAGATCCATGTAGCTCTTACACAACTTCGAAGTTGGAAAACTATAAATCAAATTATCTCTCAGAGCCATCCGCCATCGTGAAGGAGACACCTGCCCTTCACTGTGTTGGGTCTGCTCAGGCTGCCGGGACTCAGTGTCAGACTGGGTGACTTACGGGACTTTTGCTCATCTCGGTCCTTAGCTAACTGGGAGATTGAAGTGCTTGCTGTGGTTCTTGGTGCTGACCCTGTCCCGGCTCCTGGACAGCTGCTTTCATGCTGGGTCATTATGTGCAAGCAGAGAAAGCTCTTTGGTCTCTTTGCTTCCTAAGAACCCCAACCCCAGCAAGGGGCTCCACTCCCATGAGACAAGGTTTCTCGGTAGCCTTGGTGCCTGTCCTGGAACTAGCTCTTGTAGACCAGGCTGGCCTCGAACTCGCAGAGATCCACCTGCCTCTGCTTCCCGGGTGTTGGGATTAAAGGTGTGCGCCACCACAGCCTGGTTTAAAATGTGTAGTCCTGACTGACCTCGAATTCCAGATCCACCTGCCTCTGCCTTCTTTAGCAAATCCTACCAGCCTGCACCACCAGAACCGGCGT